TTTCAAAAAACCGATGCAAAAAAAAAAAAACGGGAGAATATACTTATATACATATATACTTATATTTACATATATATGTATATATATATTATATTAACAAATTATTGATTGCCTTAGTTTATGTGCTTACCTTTGCATATATATATACACACAACAACCACAAAATAAAAAATAAAAGTTCAAGTATTTACTTGCAAAGAATTTCCGGCAGTACCCCTTAGGCTTAATAAAGCAATAAGCAGGACTGCGTAACAAAAAGTAAGCTAAAGGCACAATAACAATTACAGCAAAAAGACAAACATACAAACATACACATATATACATTCAATCGGCAAACAATATGCAAATTGCATTTGCCAATAAATCTTATAACTAAACATGCACTTATATTTTTACATATAATATATACACACAACAACCACAAAATAAAAAATAAAAATTCAAGTATTTACTTGCAAAGAATTTCCGGCGTACCCCTTAGGCTTAATACAGCAATGAGCAGGACTGCGTAACAAAAAGTAAGCTAAAGGCACAATAACAATTACAGCAAAAAGACAAACACACATATATATACATTCAATCGGCAAACAATATGCAAATTGCATTTGCTGATAAATCTTATAACTAAACATTCACTCATATTTTTACATATATATTATATCAGCATATAGTAACATAAGCGCAGTCGGTAAAATACCTGCGTATTACAATTTTTACTTTTCTCCACATTCTTCTCTCACGCCGAAAAATATCACGCGTGTACAGTCATACACATACACACTTGTACATACGGCATACGATCTGCCTATGCTCACATAACCCATATACAGTGGATACAAATACATATTTTTATTAAATTTACTCGTTTAAATATCGATCATTTTAAAACTAATTGAACGGTGCGGTTAGATCTTAGCAACAAATAAATAAATAATTCCATAATACAAAAAAAAAAATTTTTTGCTAACAGACAGCTAAATAAAATAATATAAAAAAATTCTCAAATAAAAATTTCGTCAAAGTCCAATTTGGCAAATATCCAGCAATACCCCTTGTTCTTTGGCAAACAAACACAAGCAAGATTGCGCACAAACATTTCAGCACAATAATTCGTGTACACCTAGGTACAAAGTGCATTGATCTCTTTAACGAGCTATCAATTGCTCAAGTACATAAATACATATCTACAAGTCCACGCATTAGGATTTTCCTACATACCCCTACAAGTCCGATTGGTAATAAATTAAAAAATAAAACGACCAGTAATTATAAAAACCTAAATCCGCGTATTTAAGAAACTTAATTCGAATTAAAAACTCTTATTAACTAAGAGAGTTTGCGGTTATATACACATAACGAAGTTAAAATTAATTTTGTCCAAAAAAAAAACTCTATTTACCTAAAAAAGTTTCGTTACATACGAGCATATAGCTTGAATTCCATCGGTCGACACAGAGGAATTTTAAATTTATTTCTTTATTTTCTAAATGAGCTCAGATTCAAAAGAATCTAAAGCAACACAGTCGCTAAAAATACCTAAAATGATTTCTGAAGAAAAGAGTCCATGTACACCTGCAGAAGCTACACGCTCAAAGCAAGGTACTACAAAACAAAAATGGGTGAAAGATATTTCATACACCAAATTTATCTCTGAGAGTGACAGTCTAATACGATACTGCACTCGATTTTCATCTTCGCCGATTCAGGACAATTCTGAATCGGTATTAGAAATCAAAAAGGAAAATCTTGATAATTTCTCGACACGTCTCCAAGCTGCATATGACGCAATAGTAGCATCTGACGACTCAGATCTACCTGAAAATTTTAAATCCTCGGCTTACGCCAAGTACGAAAACTGCTTAGACCAGTTTGAAGAAACAAAAGCAATGATTTCGGATCAATAAAAATTAATTAAAGCCATTGCACCTGCTCCACATCCGAGAGTAGAGCTGTCACAAATTCAATGTCAAGAGTCAAATTCAGGCATCCATCTCAAGCTGCCCACATGTGATACAGAAATCTTTCATGGTGGTTATGAAAAATGGCCGGGACATGTTTACAGCCGTTTACATAAACCACCAAAATTAACAAATGCACAAATATTGTATCACCTCCGATACAAAACAAAAGGTCAAGCAGGCGTCATAGTCAAACAGTTCGCACTAAATGACGATAGTTTCAATCTGGCTTGGGAAGCTCTAAAAGCAAGATACGAAAATGAAAGAATATTGGTCGATAAGTAAGTAACGATACTAATGAAATTACCTCAAATTCAGAAAGAAACAAGTGATGAATTTATTAGACTACAATCCACTGTTTCTAATTATTTGTCGGTTTTATCGACACAAAATATTCCCACAGACAGCTGGGACCCTATTCTGGTAAATATATGCACCGCGGCACTACCAGAAAAATCGTAACTGTTGTGGGAGCAATCGCTCTCATCTCGGAAAAAATGCCCAACGTTGCAGCAAATGAAAGAATTTCTAACTACCCAATATGAAATAGCAGAAAGGGTAGACAAAAAACTGGTTAGAACTAAAAACGTTCAAAACGACCTCAATAGAAGCTTTAATAGACCCCAAACCAGTAGCAATAACATTTTAAATAGAAGTTTTTTTAAAAATCAATCGTTCACATCCGAACATTATAAACAAACGTCATGCGAACTGTGTATAGGAGGGCATAAACTTAAATCTTGCGATAAATTCAAAAAATTAAATATTGTCGATAGGAACAATTTTGTGTGAACAAAAAAACTTTGCACAAACTGCTTGTCTCGTTCGCATACTCTAAAAGAGTGTGAAAGCGAGTTCAATTGCGTTTATTGTCATAAACGACATCATTCTATGCTTCATATAAATAATTTTTCCAGTTCACCCCCAAACAGCGCAAATACGAAAGGAGCCATGGGTTTAGTTGCAACAGCAAATCCCGAAAATTGCCAAGAAGTACCATGCTGCTCAAAGGCATTAAAAACCCAAACGCTACACAGCGAAAACCAAAGTAGGGTACTACTACCCACAGCAGTCGTCTCCATCGAACACCGAGGAGAGCTGTTTAAACTTAGGGCCTTAATAGATCAAGGATCACAACGATCTTTCATAGCGTCTAGGGCTCAAAATAGGCTACAACTGCCAACAAAACTAGCCAATTTTGAAATTACAAGAATGGGCGGAAGAGTAGTGCAAAACTCTAATAAAATCTGCCCCATTACCTTAATATCCCCCCAAGCGGATAAGAGAATTAAAGCAGAAGCTATAGCCTTACTGCAACTAACAAATATGCTTTCAAGCTATCATATAAATAACAAGCATTGGAAAAAGGTTTCACACCTAAAGCTAGCAGATCCCAACTGCAACACTCCCTCAAATAGACCTTCTATTAGGCAGCGATCTCATACCACAGATAATACTCGAAGGTATTGAGAAAATTTCAAATACACTATTGGCACAAAATACTATTTTCGGTTGGATCCTAAGTGGACTAGTTACGGAACCAGTCACAACCATGACTACTCAGGTTGAGGAAATCTGAAACGAATACCTCAATTCACAATTAAAGAAATTTTGGGAGTTAGAATAGCTCCCCCCATATCAATCACAACCCCTGAAGATCAGTATTGTGAAGACTTTTACAAAGCCACAGCTACTAGATTAGATAATGGTCGGTACGTCGTACGACTACCACTAAAACAAAAATTTCCTAACACACTCGCCTTATTTCACTCTCGCACCTCTGCAATACAGCAGTTTTTAAGTATGGAAAAAAACTTACTTAAAAAAGGTGAGCTTAAGCCAGAATACGATGGCGTATTAGAAGAATACCTTCATTTAGACCACATGGAGGAAGTAAGCCGATGCGAATGGCAAATATTACTAATTTTACTTGCCTCATCACGCAGTAGTAAAGCCAGACAAAAAAACAACTAAAATAAGAGTTGTCTTTATATCCTTACTATCCTCTGTGGCAAAACTTTTCGACCCCGCAGGATGGCTTTCGCCAGTTATGATACAAGCCAAAATCCTAATACAAGAATTATGGTTACATGGAACCGACTGGGACGAACAAGTAAAACCACTTCGTTTAGAAAAGTGGTCCCAGTTTGCGAGCAATCTAAATGATATCTCACAGATACAAATCCCACGATGGGTAAATTATGCCCCAGAGCACAAAGTCGAACTACACGGCTTCTGTGACGCTTCTGAAAAGGCATATTGCGCAACTACATATATATATGTTCGCACACAAAGCGACATTGCGACCACAAGCCACTTACTAGTAGCAAAATCAAAAGTAGATCCGTTAAAAACAATAAGTCTGCCACGACTTCCACACAGTTCAAGTCTACTAGTAGCGCTACTACTAGCCAAACTAGTATCCATGGTGCGAATGCATTTAAACATGGCAAAATACAAACCATATCTGTGGTCCGATTCTGAAATCGTACTAGCCTGGTTAGAAAAACCCCCACATGCATGGAAGACGTATATTTCCAATCGAACGTCTCAAATCCTTGACCTAGTAGGATCTGCCACTTGGCGACATGTAGCCAGTGTTGACCGTAAGACACTGTCACACTACACCAATTCACATCAACATCACCACACCTACTTACCATACATTCCGCACCTACATACCATACATTCCACATCACTACACCATGCACCAACACGCACACAAATACAGCTTAACACCGATCACACCACCATGAAGACATCAGCAGATATATAAGGGACTAAAAGAAGGATCCCGCCCGCTTTTTAGCATTTCGACTCTCTAGCGATCAGATCTTGGAGCTTAAATCGACCCCCTTTTTTTTAATAATTTTGGTGAGTGGAGTTAAAATTAACTTATTAATTAATTGAAAACTCCGTTTGTAAAAACTAATCGGAGTCTATGCGCTGCCCTATTAAGCTACGGTTCGTTGTTTAGCCCATAATCAGCTTTATGTTTTTCAAGCGTTGTCAATGGGCTGCGCTGCTGTCAAAAATACTTCGGATTGCAGAATATTATACTTTGCATATACATTGCAATTGATGTTTTCAAAGTTAGCTATGATGATGAGGTAATTAATACAATTAGAAAAGCTCCGGCAAACAAAAAATAAGTTCAATTGAATGAGTTTGAACTATAAGAACTTAAAATGTATTTAAAATACAATCGTGGCAATAACAATCAAATTTTTTTATAAATTAATTTATGTGAAATTGATTAGTATAGTAAGTAAGATGTGATATTTTGAACTAAAAAAATAAAATATTTATTTTGCAGTCCATATTAATATTTGTACTATTTTAGCATACTCATCATATTGGTATTTTTCGGTAATGCAAACTGCACAGTATGCGTGATGCAACCAGTTCGAAAAAGCAAATTTTGCATATTTATCAAAATTAAAAGTTCGAAAAGCCAAAAGCTCCGTCACAGCTTTGCACAAAAAAGAAGTGGTTGCTGAAAAAATTAAGTAAGTAAAATTCAATTTGAAAGAGTAATAGTCATTGTAAGTAATGATTTTTATAAACTGTCTTGAAGCTTTGGTTTTATATAAATAGCCTTTTTTTCAAATTTCACAGAATAGTCCACGAAGAAGTTGCTTCAAGCACCCTTAAGCTTCTTATTCTTGGAAGATGAATTTCCATGTGGTGAGGTACTCCAAGAAAAAAAAATTCAACCAGAGATCAACCACCACAGGGAAATTATTTCCGTGACCTTTTTAAATGTGCTGACTACCTATGAGAGAACGAATACATTTAGTAGTTTTAAAGTTTGATTGAAGTGTTATTTTTTAAATAAGTATATTATGGTATATAAAAGAAGAGCTTAAAAATTGATCGCCATCAATAAATTTTTCACTTTTGAACGGTTCATCCTCTGTTCGTGACTCATTAAGAGAAAGCGTTCGTTTTGGTTTTCCAACTCGTCAACAAGTGCACTGATTAAAAATATTTCACTTATCTTTACGATAAATCTTTGGTTTCATTTTACATAACAACAAATAGCATATACTCGTATATTTATAATGTCAGTTTTGTTTTGAAAAATAAGTTGCACAATAGCACACAAAAAGTTATTACAAGCATTGGAAACTACAATAAGAGATATCTGAAAGTATGACAATTTGTTTGGTGGGGCATTGATATTGTTAGCTGGTGATTTTAGACAAACACCACACAATTTGTGGGCAAAAAGGAAAAATTCAATGGTGAGAATGTATTGATACCTTTAATACCAATTATTCCAACCGATATGCCACTCACTTTTAAACGATTGCAATTCCCCTTCGTACTGCTTTTGCAATAACAATAAATAAATCTCAAAGACAATCAATGCAGATTTGCAGTATAAATATGGAAAAACCCGTGTTTTCTCATGCCCAATTATATGTTTCCTATTTACGTGCTAGTA